TAGATAGATAGATAGATAGATAGATAGATAGATAGATAGATAGATAGGTAGGTAGGTAGGTAGGTAGGTAGATAGATGATAGATACAGACAGACAGAGATAGACAGAGATGTAGAAGCGGTATACAAGTCTAAGGGCTACTGAGTTAGGCAGTTAGATAGACAGACACATGTAGAGATAGATAGATAGATAGATAGATAGATAGATAGATAGATAGGCAGGCGAGACATAGATATACAGTAGATAGACAGATAGATGGGTAGATAGATGATAGATACAGACGGACAGAGATAGACAGAGATGTAGATGATACAGATAACAGATAGATGATAGACAGATGAGAAAGATAGATGATAGACAGATGAGATAGACTGATAGACACAGATGTACATAACAGATACAGATAGATGATAGACAGATGAGATAGACAAACAGATAGACAGATGATATAGACAGATAGATAGATGATAGACAGATGAGATAGACACAGATGTAGATGATAAGAGATACAGACAGATACAGAGAGATGATAGACAGACAGATGAGATAAACAGATGATAGAGAGATAGACAGATAGATGACAGATAAGACAAATGACAGACAGATGAGATAGACAGACCCAGATGTAGATGATAGATACAGATAGATATAGACAGATGATAGATGATAGACAGATGAGATAGATAAACAGACAGATGTAGATAGATGATAGATACAGACAGACAGATGATAGATGATGATAGACAGACAGAAGAAGAGGGGGGGAGAGGGAGAGAGAGAGAGAGACAAGAGGGTTTTATGACCCTCTCTCTCTGTGGCAAGAGGGTCATAAAATGGGACAGAACTCACTTAACAACGGTTTCACTCAGCGATGGAGATTTGGGTCTCCATTGTGGTTTACCTGCATTTTACTACCGCAATTGGCACCGAGGTCCTTCTCAGATACAGAAACAGAAGTCCTTGGGGGAGGGGGGGTTTGGAAACTTTTTTTTTTTTTTAAAGCATCTGAAAGGGATGTGGAATATGGGTCATTTCTCCCACCCGCCCCCACCTCCCGGCCGCCCTAAGCAAGGATCTCCCTCCCAGGGAGAGGCGAGAAAAACGGGTTAATTCGGACTTGGCAAAGGCCTCTTGTGAATCCGGTGTCACCCAGGCCAATCGGCTTACGGGCAGCTGACGTTACTTGGTGAGGATTAAAGTGGGGGGGGGAGAGATTTGCTGTCACACTACAGGTATTAATCTGGTCCTTTTTGCAATGGGGGGGTGTCACACACCCCGTCACTCTAACAGCCACCGACTATATAGCAAAACAGATGGACCTCTATTATTATTATTATTATTATTATTATTATTATTATTATTATTATTATTTTCGCCTTTCCGTCGGGCAAGCAAAACAGACATTCTGGCTTTTGGAAGGAGCCCCCCAACTTAAAAATACCCTCAAACTCCTACACTTTTCAGCCAGAAGGGCTTCTTTGCTCTCCCTGCCATGAGTTCTAACCCTGCCCTCGCAGCCCAACGCGCTTGGGAGCCAATGCCAAACCAGCCTTCCAAAAATTTAAAAAAATTAAAATAACAAATTCAACTTTTAAAAAGAAAAGGGTGTCCACTCATAAAATATCTCTATGGTCATTTTTTTAGAGTTGCCAACAGAAAGGGAGAGGGGGAAAGAGGTTTGGAAAGAGCAGTGTGGCAGCTTGGGAAGCGAAAGCGCATTCCACAAATAGTTTTTCAAAGATAGCAGCTAGGTGACTAAAGTTTCTGCCGTGCAAATATCTGTTCTGACCCAAACCTTGTTCCAAGTAAACAAACACCAGGGAGATAAAAGCAAAACCTTTTCATGCTTCTCTGCAAATTCTGTTCATTCCCGGTTAAAAGGCTGTTTCAAACTAATGGTCTCTGATAAGAACGAGCCTTGCCAAGGTGGTGCAAGGCTGCCAAGAACACTAGATAAAAGTTGCCAAGAAATATTCCAAGCAAAAAGTGTTCCAACACAAACCAAGATAGTCCGAACTTCCACAAGGCTTGAAATGCTAGAACTTCTTTGCTTCCTGCAAAGAATCCTGGTCTCTCAGGCTGGCTTTTATCCCTTAAGGGAGGGGCCTTTACTTTGCAGCCTTATTCCTGAATTGCCTGTGTTGCTTAAGCTGCTCTTTGAGCAGCCCTGCGCGCACATGCACTGGGCACAGGCTCCTCAGGGTCCTCTTCATCACTGCTGCCAGCCTCCACAATCTCCAAAGGCAGCCTTCCACTCCCTGATGGTCCTGGCCCCATCCCTGCATCCCACGCAGGCCCCTCATCTGAGTCCTCGCTCCCGGAGACCTCAGCCGTCCTCACCTGCTGCCGGCGAACCACAACAATATCTAACTGGAGAGCCTGATTGATGACTCTTGGCTATGGATGTGTCCCATTGGGGAATATGAATTACGATACACCCAGGGGGTATGGGGGGAAAACCAGGGTCAAGGGTGACAATGAATGATGTGTCTCAGAGTCGGCTACCCAGGCAGTGCCGGACATATTAACTCCCATATTAAATCCTTTTGAAGTTTTGGAAGTTTGGTTCGAGACTCATGATTTAATTGGGGTTAAGCGCCGGAGTCCTGACAAAGGTCATCAATACGGGGCACGTGTTTGCATGCTGGTAAATACTGCCCCCCCCCCCCCCCAAAAAAAACCTGCCTGCAAAGATATGAAAAGGATCTTAACTCCTGCGTGGCTAAACTTGATATGTACTTTTAAGAGGAGACAAATGGTTTGGCTAAGTTTTAAAAGTATTGGCTGTTCTTTCACAATAAGCACTAATGGCCTTCAAACAATCGATGTCTCTAAGTCATTAAGCAGGGCTCACCCGTGCGCTGCATTTTAACCCCGTCGTCGTGGCTCCCCCCCCGCCCCACACCCCCCCCCCCCGCGGCCTTCCCAGAGCTGACCTTGGACACCAAAGGTCAAGGGTCAATAACAACAACCCCCATAAACACCCACCCTCCCAACCACGATGGGAATTGTAGTCTCGGCCAAGTAGAAAAGCACAGGTTGAGACAGCTGGCATTTCCCCCCTTTTCTTAAAGCAGAATAGAGCTGGAAGGGACCTTAGAGGTCTTCTAGTCCAGCCCCCTGCTCAAGCAGGAGAACCCTATGCAATCTCAGACAAGCGGCTGTCCAGTCTCTTCTTAAAAAGCCTCCAGTGATGGGAGCACCCACGATTATTTGTCCTCCCTGTCAGAAAGTTTCTCCTTCATTCCAGGTTGCTTCAACTCCTTGGTTAGTTTCCGTCCGTTGTTTCTTCTCCTGCTTTCTGGGGCTCTGGAGAATAATTTGACCCCCCTCCTCTTTGGGGCAGCCCCCCCAAAATATTGGAAGACTGATATCATGTCTCCATATCTGCAATTGTTCTTCGTATGTTTTAGCCTCCCAATCATCTCTGTTGCGCTTCTCTCCCAGAGTCACGAGACACGTGGACCTCAACCCCCAGAATCCCCCGTCCTCCCACCGTTGAGCCTGGGCCATTTTTCTGCCTGCTTCCTCGAGCCAATTTTGAATTGAACCCCTTTTCTCAGCTAGGATTCCCCAAGGCTGCAAAAACCAGGGACCGATCTCCCTCACCCACCCACCCACCCCTGAACCCCTCCTGCCTTCTCCTCTCTCCTCTCTCTGGCTGCCTCCAGCAACCGGCTGAATTTTTCAACAGCTAATTATTCTTCCTGCCACAATGGCTTCCCTTGTGCAGATCGAATCCCTGCGGAGTCCGACAGGAAGCTGAAATGGAATTTTAGCACCACGCCAAGCGGCTTCCAGCCCCCCCCACAAGCTCCCCCTCCCAATGTGCATTACCGCCCACCTCCCGGAGAAAGGGAGACGCCATAAATCTCCCTGCCATTGGCTTTTTGTTCCAGCCACAGATCTTGGCACGGCTTTTCCAGTTTTGCAAAAGAGCTATAAAGACAGTCCTCGGCTTACGACTATCGCTAGCAACCGGAAAACTTAGGGCTCAGTCAGTGTGGTCAGGAAAGGCAGGCCTCCTTTGACCATGCTTGGTTTTAACCAGCCTTTTGTTTTTCCCGATGCGGTGGCTCAGCGAGACATCACAAGGCAGCCTTTTTCCCACCGGCTTCCCCAATGGCAGCCTTTTTCCCGCCGGCTTCCCCAGTGGCAGCCTTTTTCCCGCAGGCTTCCCCAGTGGCAGCCTTTTTCCCGCAGGGTTCCCCAGAGGCAGCCTTTTTCCTGCAGGCTTCCCCAATGACTTGCCGAAGCCGGCAGGGTCACCAACAGGGATCACGGTTCTAAGCGCGAGGACCGACTGTAAAACACTTTCCTCAGCGCTGTCGTTAACTCAGAACGGTCGCTTAAACAAGCCGTAAGCCAAGGACTACCTGTACAAAAGGTAGGAGTGGGCCCGATGTGGAGATATACCTCTCGCTGAAGTGCGAATCCCGGTGCTGTGGAAGCCCCTGCTTTCTGCGCTGGCTGGCCGAGTTGCTGGCCGAGGGAAGGTGAGGCTCTAGGCTGCTGGGGTTTCGCGAGGCGACCTCTTGACGCGCCCGGAGGATATCTGTGCCAAGAGGAATAAATCCAGTATAAGTCGACGCAACCCCTCGTGGAATCAAATTAAAACCAAGATTAGGCTCGCCGGCGATTTCAGCTCATCCTTTTGCGCGTGGTGTCAAGAGCGCCTCTGAGCTCGTGGAAAGTTCCATTTACTGATGCGAGGCTCCCGCTGGGAAATCTCACATGGGGGGAGCCGAAATTTGGGCCTTCGAAAGGGACAAGAGAAGTTTTGGCTGGCCTTTGGGGATGTGAACTAGCTGAACTAAAAGCTCTGCCCTCTGAATGAATGTATAGAAGGTTTTCTGCGCTTTCATTTTGATGCAAGCTTAATTAAATATACAGGAGAGGGGGGGGAAACCCCTCTTATAAACCTATTTACAAGGAGGGGAATGCGGAATTAGAGTGGGGATGGAGAGTTGGGGAGAAAAGGAAGAAGAAGGCGCTGTAATTTAAGCCACAAATAAATAAAGCAAAAGATAATAATAATAATCCTAAATAATTAAAGATGAGTTGGTGCCATTGGGGATGTCTGCATATCATCAAGAGTTTCGCCTGGCAGAAATACCATTTATAATTGAGCCTTGTTCCCCCAGCAGGCACCCTCTTGAGCACCTAGGGTGAATTAAAACATTTCCCAGGCAAAAAAACTTCACACTGATCAGAAGTGGCCATCCTGGATTTACAATCAGACCCCTCCAAATCATCATCATCATTTAACGACCCCATAATCCCTTGCAGGGTGGAGTCTAAGGCAACTGAATAGAGCCGAATGTTTTACTGGCCAGATGCCCTTCCTGTCACCAGGGCAGAGTTTTTGTTCGGCAGATATATTCTCAGGGTGCCCAGAGAGACAATTATCTGCCTCTACCTAGGATTGAACTATCATCGAACTAGTCCTTCTTATCACTAAACTAGGTATATCCAATTCCGGCAACCATCCTTCGTTATGTTTTAGCCCCACCCAAATCATCTTTCCCTGCACTCTTCAAGACGTGCAGGACTTCCAACTCCCAGAATTCCCCCATCCTCACCGCTGTGACTCGGGACGGATATCCCGCCGGCCAACTGGTAGAGACGCTGCTGTTGTTGCTGCTGCTCTTCGAAAGTGCTGTGTTCGTTGAGTGCGGACATCAACCGCCGGTAATCTTCTTCCGGAGTCATCTGTGTCACCGAGCCCTCCAACAAAGGCGTGTGGGAGTTTTCTGTGGGGCGGAAAGGCAAAAAGAAAAAAAGCAAAAAAAAAAAAAGCAAAGATGAGTCGTGAGAAAGAAGTGGGAGTCTTGGCAAACCTAACGCAATTTTGCATGGTGGCGTTTCCTTTGCCGAGTTAAGCATCTAGTCCTCATGATGTCTGTCCCTATGAGCCCAGGAGACAATTTGGCGCCCAATGAGTCTTCAATTTTATGGAGTGTCCAATCCCTTACTGGCTTGGGCCTAGCACATTTTAGCATGCAAAGCAGCAGAATTGAACTATTTCTGAAATTTTTTGGGAGGGGGGGGGCGAAGATTTTTATCCAGGGTTCTGCATCTCCCGCCCCCTCCACCTCTCTTTAAAAAATAAAATTAAGTCTCGCCAAATTTAAGTGCTCAAGGGAACATATCTCACTGTTGAGACTTGTGCGACATCATTGCCTTTTCTTTATCAACAAATCTGATTAAAGAAAACTTCGTTCTTGGTTAACAAAAAGTGGACATCAAAAACAGGGCCGGTTTAAACGTCTCTTTACTTTTTAGCTGCAAAGCAAAGACTAAAATGCTTCATGGGAGTTGGAAGAAGCCTCGCCGAATTTTCTCTGTCTCTTTTTTTTTTAATTCACGCTATTTATACATCACTTTTGTATGAAACATTTCAACGACATTTTGGGGCCAGAGAAAGCTGCCACCTGATGGAAAAATCCAGGCTGCAGAAGGGGAAGAGCAATTTATTTACTGCCACAAACTACCGTTGTCAAGGATTCGAAGGCTGTTTGGAAGCACAACCGTCTTACAAGCATCTTACGATCATAATCTTACGCATTATGGCAAGCATCTTATACGACCATAATCGGCACCTGAAATGTCCGTTGCTAAACAAGGCAGGACCGAGCTGACAGCTCCTGGTTTTCTAAAAACCAAGAAAATCCTTGTTCGTCAATGGATGGGAGGCCACAAGGAGATTCCGCGCGAAAGGATGGGAAGAAGGAAGACTGGGAAGGCGGTCACCCCAGCACTGTGGTGAGGGGCACACTTCCAAGACCCAAGCCTGATTTTAAGCCAATCTGTTCTCTTTAAAACTGTTGTGGCCTGTCACCGGCCAGTGGCGCTGGCAGCAAACTCGGCCAGTGAGGAGGTTGGGGAGGAACCTGGGCCAGTCCTGGAGTCTGGGGAAGGATCTGATGAGGGCTCTGCGTCGGAGGCAGAGATGGACCTAGGGCTGTCCGACAGTTACCAGCTGCCTTCAGAGTTGGAGATCAGTGGGGAAGAAGAGCAGCTGGAGCCTGTTTCCAGTGTGTGCATGCACAGAGCTGCCAAGAGAAGGGAACAGTAAAGGAACAAGGATTGACTCGGGAGTAAAGGCACAGGTAGACGGTGAATGGCCCCTCCCAGAGGGAATAAAAGAGGACCGAAAGGGGAGTGGGGTTTTGCAGGAAACAATTAGTTCCATTCATTACGGTGAAGATCTGTTCCTCACTCCTTGCCAAACATTGTCTGCTACAGTGTGGCGTTTGGAAGCTACCGGCCTGGCAGCTCTCCAAACCTGATCAAAGTCTGTGGTCGTAATTTTACCCTTGAAAAGGACCGTTTGCTGGATGTGAATGATAGAAATTCACATTTAGCCTAATAACAAAGGGCTTTGTCAGGATGAGGAGTCTGGTGATTTTTGCGGTCAGGACAAAAATTCACTTTTCTTGCCTAGTGCCAAGAACTGGAAATTCCCCTTTTTCCAGCCCAGGAAGCCCACCTGCTTTCCGGCATGGAGACCCGTTTATTGGGGGCGGGGGGAGGGGTTAACGAAGCAGAGAAGAGACTGGACTCAGGTCCTGCAAACCCCCCCCCCCAGGGAAGGAGGCAACCTTGTCTAGACTTTCAAACTCCCCCGACCCCCTCCCGCAACCTTCCCTCTGCCAATACCCCCCTTGCCACTGACTGACAAGCCCACCCAAGTTCAGCAGCCGAACGACCCCCAACCTCCCAGGAGAGAATGCCCCGTTGCACCCACTGTCTGTCATCCCCTTCCCCGATCCGTGTGTGTGTGTGCGCGCGCGCATGTGTGTGTGTGCTTCAAGTCTGCCGGAGAGGAAGGAAAACAAAATCCCTCCAGTTTCAAGAGCACCATCATTTCTCTCTCTCCCCCCCCCCTCCGGTAATAAGCTAGAGGTTGCAGGAAATGGGAACGAGAAAGACAGAGAGAGAGAGAGAGAGAGAAAGAGAGTGTGGCATTTTTAATTACTGTCAACACATCGAGAGGGGAAAGGCTTCAGGTGCAAAGCGGAGGGGGAAGGAGAGAAGCTTTCCTGCCCCCCCACTCCTTCCCATCAAGGCGGACACCTTGGCAATTTCCCTTCCGTTCTCACTTTGACAGCTGGGGAGGGGCAAGCCTGAGGCCCCCTTTTTTTTTACAAATTCTCAGCTGCTGAGATGCTGCGGAAGGGACAGGCTGGAAAACTGACCGAGCAGCAAACCCGCAATCTTTATTTGGGGAGGAGGGTGGAATTTCTACCCTTGTCTGTTCTGCTGAGTTTGACGCCTTTGGCTCCTAACACCCTGTTGTGGCCCGCCCGCGGCCAGTGGAGCTGGCGGCAGACTCGGACAGTGAGGAGGTTGGGGAGGAACATGGGCCAGTCCTGGAGTCTGGGGAAGGCTCGGACGAGGGCTCTGCATCGGAGGCAGAGATGGGGCCGGGGCCATCTGACAGTTATCAGCTGCCTTTGGAGTAGGACATCAGTGGGGAAGAAGAGCAGCTGGAGCCTGTTCTCAGTGTGCTCATGCACAGAGCTGCCAGAAGAAGGGAACAGCCAAGGAACAAGGGTCGACTCGGGAGTAAAGCCACAGGTGGACAGTGAATGGCCCCTCCCATAGGGAATAAAAGAGGATCGAAAAGGGGTGGGTTGTTTGCAGGGAACAATTAGTTCGTTTAATTAGTGTGAAGATCTGTTCCTGACTTCTTGCCAAGTAATTTCTGCTGCAGTGTGGCGTTTGGAAGCTATCGGCCTGGCAACTCTTCAAGCCTGATAAAAGGTCTGTAGAAAAGACTGTTGGCCTGGACTTTGCTGGAAAGGAATTCACTTTAACCTAAATAAAAGGGGTTTTACCGGGACGAGGAGTCTGCTTCATGATATTGGGAAGCCTAGGTTGGAACAGATCCCAAAGACGCAGCAGAAGAGAGGAGAGAGAAGTCGATTGTGGGAGGTAGGAAACTCCGCACATGGGCAGGAAACGCTGTGTGGCACCCTCTCTTGACATCACTGCCCCCCCCCCTCCCCGAGAAGCTAGAAACAGCTGAAGCAAAAATATCCAGATGTTTTTAAAGCCTGAGAGAGACTTGGTTAAAGTGGGTCAGCCCAGTGGCATGTTGGTGGTCCATAGCATTGGACCGAGATGGATTTTGAACGTGGATCCCTCAACCGGAAAAGCATCCGATGGCTGAATCGATTCAAAACTATTTGGATCGTCCAATGCTTCTGGCGGTTTTAAACTACGCGCCTGTTTTTTAGAGACATTTCCCCCCACAAAAAAACAATCGAATCAGGCCGGATTGGGAGATTCGAATTGATCCAAATGCGCAAAACAAATGGGATTGATTTCTCACAATTGATTCAAGGGCAGAATCTGGCTGAATTCACCTACTTCCAGCAAAAATGTTCAATTTTTTTTTAAAAAAAGAAATTGAGTGCAATAAGGACATTGCTGCAGAGGGAAGGGATTAAAGTAAAATAAAATCTTTATGAGCCACTATTTATGGAAGGCAAGATAAGGTTCTTCCAAGCCATAGTTAACAGAGGTGATGGTATGTGGTGGAACTTCTCCGTTCAGGGGCAGTGTATCACGGTGTTATCAGATGGGAACAGGAAAAGGTTAGGGCTTCAGAAACACAAAGCAGCTCATAGTGACCCCCAAAATGTGAGAATGGCCCCATCCCTGCCTCTGATGCAGAGCCCTCGTCCGAGCCCTCCTCAGCCTCCAAGACTGGCCCAGGTTCTTCCCCAACCTCCTCACTACTGTCTCTGCTGCCAGCTCCCTCCGCTGCCGACGGGCCACAACAGGCTCAGACCCCCCAAACCAGAGAGCCAACCTGACTCTTGATTCTCGACTCTTGACAAATGTCTCTTGTCTTTTATGTACACTGAGAGTATTTGCACCAAGACAAATTCCTTCTTGGCCAATAAACACTTGGCCAATAAAGAATTCAATTCTATTCTATTCTTTCTCATTCTATTCTATTCTTTCTTATTCTATTCTTTCTCATTCTATTCTATCTTATTCTATTCTTATTCTATTCTCTTTCTCCTATTCTATTCTGTTCTTTCTCATTCTATT